GATAATATTGTATAGTAATGATGATGATGATAATAATAATGATAATAATAATAATAATAATAATAATAATAATAATAATAATAATAATAGTTTCAATAATTTTGAGAAGGCATCATCATTAAACCAATGACTCGATAACTTTGTCACTTACATTCGACCATTTCATACTGGCTTTAGTACTATTACATGTGTACTCAACTTCTAAACTGAAAGATTTCCAAATTGTATTTGCATTTAGTTCTCGTTTTTTATCTTTTTTTCCTTTGTAAGCCAATTTTATAAATAAAGAATGTAAGTAGAGACATAAGTTCATTCACAATTTGTTTTTAGTTCCAACAAAAATATTAAACCAGTTTATTGATTCCACACTGGGAAAGTTGCATTTAGTAATAATTGCGTTAAATCTTTTCATTTTCTATTTCTTTATAACAAATGTCACATAAAACACTTGTAACTACTCTTGTATTACAAGGTAGGATGCGATGTAAAAGCTTAAAGTTAAACTGGGCAATGTCTGTAATGTATTTCATACCTTTAACTTGATTGTACCATCTCGTCCCAGTTAATTACTTTAGTGTTAAACTCTATTTCACATTTCATTTTCATGGTTGGGGTTGTACCAATTTCAGAAATAAAATGATTATAGTAAACACCAACTTTGTTTACATTTTTAACCAGTGAATTCCTTATATTTTTATCTTGTGGTACATCATCATTTAACCCTTTTGAAAGGATTATCTTCCAATCTTCCATTCTTTTGGAATTGCACTTATCAGGGAAATATATTCAATGAGCCCATTTTCTTTTTCTTTTTTTTTTTGGAAAGTGTAGGAATTTATTCACATGGTGTTAATATTCTATTATCAATCAAAATGTCATTTATTAATTTATACCCCGCTTCTACCCAAGCTTTAAATTCCAATGATTTATCGCCTAAAGTCATAAATTTATTATCCCATAATTGTTGATTCTTAATTTCTTGTAAATTTTTAGAACTTAAGCTGACAATGTTATTTAAATTTACAACAGATTTCAACATTTCTGTATAAATATCAGGCATAATTGTAAGGTTAACATGTTCATTAAAAATTATTTTGCTTACACTTACCGTGTATTATATAGGGTGCATATAATAATTAGGAATATATTTCCATTTGCCAGGGTCCGGACTTCGAAGTCGTTTAACCCAATTCAATTTTAAAGAGTGGACCATTTATTAAAAATAGACCATGCTTAATCCGCCCAATTCTAACCTTGCATAAGAGTCGTTTTTTTAATCTTTTCTCTCTTAGCACCCCATAAAAATCTGTATAATATCTACATTAGAAAAAATATGTACTGGTACATTTATTATACTAGCGTTATATACCAGTTTGGATATGGCAAGTGTTTTTATAACGGTAATTTTACCAAAAAACGATTAGTATCTTTTTTTTCCCATAATTTTAGTGTATTTCTAAATCAATAATTTGTTCATCCCAGTTCATCCTTTCACACGCTTTCTGATTATATCCAACGTATATCCCCAGAAACCTGACTGGCTCTTTCGTCCAAACGATATCCAATGGATTGGACATGTTACTTTTTAAAGCACCTATCTACATACCCTTTGTTTTATTTTTGCTTAACTTTAACCCTGAAATTTTACAAAATGTTTCAATCTCACTAAAAAATAATTTCTGTATAAATATCAGGCATAATTGTTATTGAAAATGGACCATTCTTAATCCGCCCAATTCTAAACTTGTATAAGAGTCGTTCTTTAATCTTTTCCCTCTTAACACCCCTTAAAAATCTGTATAATCTACATTATAAAAAATATGTACTGGTACATTTATTATACTGGCGTTATATACCAGTTTCGATATGGCAAGTGTTTTTATAACGGTAATTTTACCAAAAAACGATTAGTATCTTTTTCCCCATAATTTTAATGTACTTTCTAAATCAATAATTTGTTCATCCCAGTTCTTCCTTTCACACGCTTTCTGATTATATCCAACGTATATCCCCAGAAACTTGACTGGTTCTTTCGTCCAAACGATATCCAATGGATTGGACATGTTATTTTTTAAAGCACCTTTCTACAAACCCTTTGTTTTATTTTTGTTTAACTTTAACCCTGAAATTTTACAAAATGTTTCAATCTCACTGAAAAAATAATTAAAACTGTGTTCATCTGGTGTAAAGATGACAGTATCATCTGCCAGTTGTGCTATTTTTACCATATTTTGGTTATTTTCAATCCTAAGCAAAAGCAATACCTTTGCATAGGGAATTGTCTCTGATATTTAAGGCCATGATTTCTGCAACCAATATGAATAATAAGGCTAATAGCGGACAATCCTGTCTTACACCACATTCCATTTTGAAATGCTCCGATACCCACCCGTTATTTGTCACTCCACATTCTGTATTTGTATATATTGTTCTTCATTTAAAGAATGAAATACCGAATCCAAACTTGTTTAGAACTTTAAAGAATAAATTTCTGTCAATTGAATCAATGCTTTTGCAAAATCTAGAAATATCATTGCTCCTGTTTTGTTAGTATCATTTGTGTAAGAAAGTATATAATTTACTAAGCGTATGTTTTCTCCACCAAACCTCCCGGTGATATAACCTTTTTGATCATAATTAATGATAAGATCCAGACAGTTTGCAGTCTGTTAGAGAGAACATGAGCCATAATATTGTAATCCACGTTTAATAAAGTAATAGGTTTCCAATTATTAAGTTGTTCCCCCTGTCCATTTTTAAATAATAAATTGATGATACCTCGTCTTTGTGAATTACTTAGTCTATTGTTGATATAACAATAATTTAGTGCATCACATATAGAATGGTTTTGATATAATCCCAAAAATAGAGATAAAATTCTACACTCAAGCCATCACATCCAGGGCTTTTATTGAGTTTCATTTTATAGACAGCCTTTGTACATTTTTCAACAGTAATTAAACGCATTTATTCGATTCATTTTTTGAAAGTTTTTTTAATATTCGATTTATTTAGATATGCATTAACCATATCTTCAGAGATATTTTTGTTTGAGTATAAATTTCGATAAAACTTAACTTGCTCTTTTAAAATTTCATCAATATCTGACGTATATTTACCATTGTCGTTTAGTACACGAGTAATATGTTTTCTTTTTGCATTATTTTTTCTAATCTTAAAAAGAATTTGTTATTCTTTTCTCCTTTTTCAAACTATTCTATTTTGAGCGAATTTGAGCACTTGGGCCTCAAATACATAGATATCGTTTAAACTTTTTGCTTTACTTTGTAGTTCAGTGTCTATATCCTTATCATAGCCAATATTTAACTTGATTGTAAGGTCATTGACTTCTTTAAGTAATTTTTCTTTTTTCTTCCTTTTTTTATTTTCTTTTTTAGCACAATATTTACATAAAAAATTCATTTCTTTTAACTTTCATGTACTCCCACTGAATCCGGATTTAAATTATAAACATTTTTTTTTTTTAATTTTCAATAATTTTGTTATATTTGATGTGTATTTAATACAAAAAGGGCAAAACTGACAATTTGCTGTTTTGGAGATATTACGCAAAACGTGTAATTTATTTAGCCCTAAAATGTGTTTTAGTATTTGATTTCATGGTTATGTATTAAAAAAGACAAATAATGTCTCTTCCAGTGTAGCACACAATTTTTCTATTTTTGCGCTCAAAATGTCAGTTATGCCCTTTTGCCGTGGGTTTTCTGATTCAAGATATGTTGACAAACATTGGCAAACGGATATAAGTAAACAGTTTAGTTCCTTTCAATGCAATTTTAAATCAGATTAATCTAGAATAACAATCACTATATAATTTCATATGTTAGTCATGTATATACTATCAAATAAATGTACAATTGTAACAAAGAAACCCATTAAATATTAAATACTAAAATTACAAATTATTAAAAACCCATAGGCTAACCAAGTATACAAACGAGAAAAAGAATTAACATTAGTATGCTGTTATGTATGTATCAACAAAGCCTTTTGGCTCAAGGTGGTAGATCGAGGACCCTGTGGGTAGAGGGCCTTAAGGACCCCTAGGAGCCTGGGGCCCCGCACAAAAGCGTATAGGCGTTGCGTCACTGTGTGAAAGATGCATGCGTATGCGTATGTGAAACTGTTAATTTGTACTTGGTTTATTGCCAGAAATAAATTTCATTGTATTGTATAAATAGAACTGCTGTTTAATTAGAATGCGCGTGTGATTGTTTCTATGTGTACGTTAAACAAGAATTACAATTATTTTAAAATTTTATTTACAAAGTAAAATAATATATATATATTTTAAGTCATGTAATTACAATATAAATTAGGCTTCTTATTTTTATATATATTAGCAATTCTTCTCTATGATCCAAATTCAAGTAATAATAAAATGATTACGAATATTATTTTTTTTAATATTCTAATAAAATATTAATTTAGGAAATGTATTATGTATTAA